TATCGGTGTGGACCCTCCGGTGGCAAGGACCCGTCATGGGTCAAGACTTGACACTCCGAGGGTAGAGTTGGCTGTTGATTTGTTGGGATCAGCTTCCTGCTTGGCTGAAAGCCGAATCAAGGATCACAGTTGGCACTTTTCAGCTTTCGTCCAAAACCACAGCTGACAGATGGAAACCGGCCCACCAGTGTGGCCCCCACCATTGAGATCCATTGACATTGAGGTCTTCCCTTCGTACAGTATCTTTTGCTATGGCATTATAGCCTATATATATATATGTTGCATGCCTACAGGCTTGTTATTCAACACATTGGTCTCAGATCTGTCAGGCTCTTCCTGGCCTTGGGCAGGCTGAAAGCTTGGGGCTCCCCCCGAATGGTGGTCCATTTCAAGGCCTTCCCGTGTGGCCACGATGCGCGCCCCGAGTCAACGTAGATCGTTGCAACTCTGACGCTCCTCCTTGCCCTCAGGTGGGTGTGCTACAGGACACGGCCATTCGGCCTGGACAGGTGGTCTCAAGATCTCCCGTACGCACGGGACGTACGGCGATTTCACATGGTTTCACCTTGAATTTCTTACATATCCAGTATCATATTATGACTATTATGTACATACATTTTGGCTGGTTTTATAGATGAAAAGGCAGACATTTGTCACAGTTGGAAGATCCAGGTATGAGATATTCTACTGGGGATTAGTCTTCCAGCATTCCATTGATCCTGCCTTTGTCTTTGTTGGGTCAGTACAAGTGCAGGTTGCAGGGGTTCGGCAAAGGGCCTCTCTGAGCATATGGTCCTCTCATGTCCTGTACTCCTGCACTTTTTCTTGCTTATCCGCTCGATGTTTGTTTGTCTCACACGACATGATCTTGAAAAATCAGATCATGCTTCTAAAGACGACGTATCAATTCAAATTTCCCTTAGGCACCTTGTCTGGACGCCCGTGCCGTGCACGTGGTGCACGCACGTGCACCATGCCCACCCTGCAGGAGCTTCAGCCCTTGCTGGAAGAAGCTGGCGACCTCACACAGGAGCTGCGGGGAGAACGTTTGGCCGTGGCGACCCAGATCCGATCGTGAAGCTGCCGTCAGGGGTGAACAAGGGAGATCCGGATCCCAACAAAATGGCCAGGACACAAATTGTTGATCCGGTGATTTCATCCCAACATGGATCCGAATTGGTTTTGACATGCAAAAAGATGACCCATACCTGAGGGCGTCAAGCAAGGGAGGTCTTAGAGGGTGAAGAAAGAAACACACGTGGTTGAACACACTGTGGGTCAAACCCGAACCAAAAGTAGCAAGACAATGCAGCCAGATGAGAGGTGCACCTTCTCCTCACCGTCCACACCCTTCTCTTCCATGCTTTCGTGTCCCAGGGTTTTGCTGGGTCTTCGACCCATGCTGGAGGATATGAGACTTCTCACTGCTAGGTGTGCATAAACATAGGGAGACCATCCCAGTTCAGTTCCGGAAAATCGACTCATCTCCGAAGTGGGTGGTAGATGTGTCGCGTCGGAGTGACCTGGGGGCCCGGTCAAACGGGTTTTGCCCCACAGCCGTGGGGCGGACGACCTGATACTGCAGTCAATTCCCTCCACGGGGGGAAACCGTTTCCCCCCCCGCAGCCAGGTCTTTCAAGCCGAAGTCTTGCACCAAAACCTGGGTTCGCCCACTGACAGGCGCCCAGATCCGATTTGGAACCTGCCGAAATGGGGATGTTCTTCTGGGATCAATGTTAGTGTTTTGGACTCCCCTAAACTGGTTGACCAAGCTTACGTAGACTAACTAGAGAAATTCATTGGCTGTTTCCATGTTTTCTATTTTTTGTTGCAAACCGTATATTTTGATTTTGTGCCTTCTGTATATAGTACAGAGAATTCTGGCAGGTTCGTAGTAGCTGGGTTCTAACGCGGCGCTATTCCCGGGACCCACACATTTTTTCTGTGTGGTACTTGTACTTGCAAAAAATGCAAACAAGTAAGTGCAAGATCCCAAGTGGTCAGCGCCCGAAATATTTTTGAAAGGCAAGAACATCAACATGGAACATTGTGCTACTTCTACTCCCAAACTTGTGGTGTTTTGACGGTCCAGGGTCCCCGGCAGTGCAAGGAAAGCATTGACCTCTCCACACAAAGAGAGTATGTTACAGGATCTTCTTTTCACCAGGCAGACTGGCCTCTCCGATGGGCATCACCTTGTCAGGTACCTCTCTCCAACATTGGTTCGTGGTTCGTGGAGAGTTTACAGAGTTTGCCTTTTGTTTGGACGTCGAGCAAAAAACTTAAACACGTTTTCCTTTCAAGCGCCATGCCATCCACGTCACAATGCCGCCGCCGCGCCATCTGCTGCGTCGGTCAGGCCTTCTGTGCCCGAGATCGTGGTGGCCTTGCGCGCCCAAGGTGGGTGAAACTAGCAATCTCAATTGAATCACAAAGAAAGAGAGAGAGAGAGAGAGAATAAAAAAAGAAAGAAAGAAAAGAAAAGAAAAGAAAAGAACAGAAAAGAAAAGAAAGAAAGAAAGAAAGAAAGAAGAAAGAACGATGGTTTATACATGGACTGCTACTAGGTAATGATCCATCCAAAACCTGTCCTTTGGACAGTGCTCAGCACAAAGTAACATAGGTAACATAGGTATGCTCTAGTACTGGTATCAGCATCCCAACAACCCTTAGCTTTCCAAGCGATGAATCTGACTGGCTAAGCCTTTGGTCAGTCCACACTGGTCTCTGAGATGGGTGGATGCGACAGACTTCCCAACTTCAGTCCCAGCCTGATGGAGCGAGCTCCACCGAGCCCAGCTCCACCGAGCCACGCTGCGCCCAGGTGGACCGGCTGCGCCTCTTCTCACGGTGCGGGGCGCTGGTCGGGACGGAGGTAACATGTCGACGGCTCATGTTTTTCTCTGATGTTGTTTGCATGAATGGTGCTACCACCAGGGACAGACTCCCTCATGTAATGGAAAAAGCAAGATGATTACAAAGCACACTCATCACATCTCATCACATCTCATCACTCAGCCTTGTCTCAAAGGGATCCTCTCCACTAGGCAGCGCTTTTTTGGAATGGCACGGTTTTTGATAGCCAAAAGCATCCTTTTACCATCCAGCGGGGAAGGGTTTCTCGGTTCCAAACTGGCAGATGCCAAACGCGCTGGCACTGGCGGATGCACCAACCCTACCCTTCAGACCTGGGTTCCGTATCCAATTCTGCGAACGCGTCTATGTCAGGGAACTCGAGAGAAATACTCTTTTGATCAGAAACAAATTAGAATAGAAGAACTAGAACTCCTAGTCAAGTCTCCTTTAAAACCCCACATACTTTGATGGCTCTTCACCATCGCAGAAGCACAGTATCCTGACAATATCGCTGGCTCTTGGAATGTGAGTGTTTTTTGTCCCTGCAGACATTCTAAGAGTGTAACGGAGATCTATTTTGGGTCTGTCCTATTACCTGTAACTGTCGGTAATCGATTATGACTATTTCAGAGAAAGGCCTTCAGCAACCATCATGATCTACTGTTACTGGTAATGGGATAGACCCAAAGTATTGTTCCTTCTTCATTCACTGCTCCTCTTGTTCCCGCGCGTTTGGACTTCGTGATCGCCTTTTGACCCACCGCCGAGTGCACCGAGCAGAGCGTTGCGCTCCTGTGATCGACAGGTGTGGTCCATTGAGAAGTTCAAGGAAAAGCTCGAGGCACAGCTGCTCAGCCGCTTTCGAGCGCGCGCGATCAAGCGAAGTCCTGTGGGCATGATGATGTAAGTGGCAGGGATTTCCACCAGGGCGTTTGGCATGTGTGCCATCCCGGTGACCAGGAGGGAAAGAAGAAGTCATCACCGGAGTTCACGATCATTTCTCGTCTCACAGCTGCTTTGAGGAGATCCTTCTTTTGCGATACTGAGGTATGTTTGTGTGTGCCGTGAGGATCCCTGAGGTGGCACAAAGTGAATTATATATATAGGTTTAGACAAGAACCACGAAGACTTTTGGTAGGTTTGCCAGTTTCTTTCGGCCTGTAGCCGTGAATCTCTGGCAGGGTCGTCTCGACGGGTTTGTTGGTCGGCTGCCAGCTAGATGTGTCTTCGTTCATCCCATTGGTTGGGCTTCTCTTCAGATTCCACCCACGTGCATCCCCCGGGACGGGCCCCAGACCCCAATGGCGCAAGAGGTTCCCAATGATGATGAAGGGTGTACAGGGTTGAGAATGTTCCCAGGTGACCGCAGGTTCTGCACCAAGTTCATCTGATCCCGCCAGTCAGATGGGACCTTAAAAAACTGTCAAGAGCTCCATGCTCTTGAGCGTGGCCCAACTCTGGTGGCAGGTCGAGGACCGTTTTTGTTGTCTGACAGTCTTAGCATCGTAGGGTCCTGGTTTTGGAGGGAAAAGAATTGAGGAGATCTCCCTGTAACTGTAAACCGTTCTTTCTTTTCCTCGAGGGAATTGGCGGTAGGTCCTATCTGAGTGTCGCCAACTGGGCTCTTTGAGGGCAAAAGGCCGATCCCAACTTTAGCTGGAGCGGCTCGAACACGTGCGATGCTCGGAACGCCAGCGTGTTCCCAAGTGAAGCTACTCAAACTCCATGTAGTGTTAGTGCCCAGCGAGGAGCCAACATGGGAGGATCCACCATTTTTTTTTTTTGTGTGAAATTTGACATATTCCGAGGATGAGTTTAGGTGTTGGGCATGTGGCGTGTGGGGCAAAGGCAGCAGGCTGCTTCCGATCCTACCCGAACCAAAATAGTCGCTCTCTTCTTAAACATGGATTGCGTGTCTTTCAGTGCTTTAGATCAGACAAACACAGGACAGACAAGACAGAGCACAGGGGGCTCGCTAGGCATCCCACATGAATGGCCCAGCTGACCTGCGGACATTAGACATCTCCTTCCCTGTTTCTTTTTTTGCATCCAACCTTTTTCAGGCATCACCGCACCAAGATGGAGTGCACCCCTCAGTCCTTCCTACCCATACCGCCGAAGCGCCTCACCTAACCGCGGCGCCCATGGAGTACACGCCGCGGGGCCGGGTGCCCGTGTCGGAGCCCATCTCCCCGGTGGCCCAGCGCGTGGCCCTGAGCGGCCCTGCGTCGGAGCCGGGAGGTGCGGGCGTGGCGAGCTCACGGGAAGGATGGCCCTGGCAGTGGCTTGGCGGGGACTGGAAGCCTCTGAGGCCTCTGAGGCGGTCCTGAAGCGGTCCAGATGCGTAAGATGGCTGTAAGGATAGGGTTTATGGGGTTACACCAGGCACTTTTCTGTTTCTTTCATTAAACATAGTGTTTCGTAGATAGGTCTACATGGAAAAAAAGGCATGGGTCTCGCTGCAACGAGCTGTGCATGGGATTTCGACATAATTTCGACAGCCTTTTGTTGGACTGGGTTGGTGGCGGCAGCGATCTATAACTATAACATTCAGGTATGCAAGTAGTCTGGGCAATCCTGACCCGTAGGGCTGCTGGGCAAGCCCGGACTTAAGGACTTAAGCGAGTTAGGGTCGACTCTCGGGGGGCCAGCGGGTAAGCCCCTTGTTTTGTGTTGTTATCAGAAAGTTGCATATTTGGTAGGATCATTCAGATTGGATATATTATGATAATCATTGATAATCACATATCATATTAGTCACATTGACACATTGTATGTTGTGAAGGGCAATCCCAGACATTTGTGCACCCTTTTCAGGATTGTCAAACGCAAGAATCCTTGATGGGACCAGGATTTCAGGAATTATTTAGACACTCCTTACAGTAGGATGTGTAGGTAATCAAAGCACAGGATTGCTTGCATGCGGCATGGCGGCACCAACTCTAAGCTGCACAAACACCTGAATCCATGTTCGAACTCTTCTGGAACAGCCCCCTGTAGGCCTTGGAATTCTGTGAAACATCCAAATACACCCAAATTGGGACCCAACTCACTTGTTTTTCACCAACACCAACACCAATCTCTCTTACCCCTGGTAACTAACCACTGCCCCAACCCATCCAATCGTCTCCAACTCCCTCCACCCCTCCCCTCCCAATCCGACCACAAAGCCACACCAACCCCACTTTACTCCCTCAAAACTTCACGAATCAGCTCCCAACCCCAACTCCATCCAACTCCATCCATCGCCGCTCTGAGGTTCCAGCTGAACCCGCGCAGAAGCGAGGAGCGTCCGCTGACCGCCACGCGGAAGGCGAGTCCGGTGGCGACCCAGCTGCGGGCGCTGAGCGGCGGCCGCGGACAGGTGGTGAACGCCACGGCTCGTGCATCCTACGTGGCTCGGTGGGAAGGGCGAAAAGGAACTGCGGCTGGGCCCAGTAGAGTCAAGTGGTGGGGTAGGGGTAGGGATAGCGAAGGGAGACTTTAAGGGAGACCCCCCAAAATGGCAGAATTTGTCTGCAGGAGTGTTGTGATTGGGATTGTGAGTTGCAGTGATAGGGGGCCGTGACAGAATAGAAGATGGGAAATGAAGAGAACAGAGGAATCGGAAGTGCAGGTTGGTCGGTTTGGATTCGGAGACTCTGAGCCCGGGATTCGCGATCCCCCAAAAACACCGAGACATTGATTCCTGCCAGATCGCCAGACATGGAAATTCGATGTAAAAGAAGAGAGAACATGCCATGGTTCTTTTGGGATGTCCATCTCTTTGGGACAGTGGACACACCTCTTTGACCCGAACACCTGCGAACCCCTGCTGTCCGACGGCACCCGGCAATCGCCTCGCCGGTGGGGGCTCGACCGGCCGAGACGTTGGTCTCAGGAGACCGCGGTGATTGCCGCGGTGCGTCGGCAGTGCGACATCTTCGAGGAGAAGTGGGAGAAGAAATTGAGACAGGTCACTGGGCGTGTTTTCTGAGAAGTGGAGGGAGAAATGGGTCCCACCACCGCAAGAGATGGTGGGCCTGAGGACCCATATGAGCAACGAGCTCACATGGTGGACGAGTAACCCAAAGTAAGAAAAATGCTTTGCACAACTGCCGTGTCACATGTTCCTCTTGATCTTCTTGTTGAACACCGTGCATGTTTGTGGATCCAGTCCTGATCACAGAGCTTCGAAAGCAATCAGCGGATACCAGCGATGTTAATTGTTTATGGCTAGCTCCTGTGGATTCAGCGCGCAGGTGACAGTCACAAGTGCATCAAACAGAAGTATAACAGTTTTGGGCTCCAGGAATTTGGAAACGCACTCACTGGACTGACAAGAAAGGCCCTAGCCTAGAATACAATGGAAATACGGCCTGAAAGACTAGACGTTGGTGAAGCTAGGAACAGCGTTCCTTACCAATCAATGCATGAATCCCCTAGATAACCTTAGATAGTAGATGATAGTAGGGAATTCATGTACGAATATTTTTGGGAACAAACACTCTAACACCTTTTGGAATTGTAAGATTTCAGGGGTAAAAGATGTTGATCACCACAAGCGTTTTGGCCGGCTTCTGGAGTATTCGTTTCACATGTTCTGAGTGTTCTTCTTTGCTCAAGTTTGCCTTGTGAACACACAACCTATACCTCTACAAGTTGTACCAGTTGTACCAGAGGCCCCGTCCCGGCCGTCCCGTTTCGGAGCATTCGGAGCACGGCACCGGAGCACCCGCCCAAGGACCGGAAGGACTCGACGACGGGGCCCAGCCTGGTGCCTTGGAGTGAGGAAGCGTTGTCGCCGACACGTAAGGCCAGGAGCGACCACGAAAGCGTCTTTGTTCCGTTCGTAGCGATGCCCTTTGTTACGTTCGTAGCTTCTTGTTACTAGTAGTATTGCCAGGAGCTACTAACAACGTCCGGTCACCTTGGAGTTTTTTTTTGAATCTCAGGATCGCATGAAGAGAATACGAGAATCAGACTGATCTGCTGATGGTGGTCTAATAGAGAAACTGATCGTATCATTCGATGTTTTCGATTTTTTTGATTCACTTTCTGCCTCTTCACTCTTCACTCTGGAAAGGGTTGATTTGACCCATTCTTAGCAGTCAACCATGCATGGCTGGCAAAGTCGAAGAAGACCACAAAGCTATCGCTTAGCGGTGCCCTGCGCTACAGCGTCCCATGTTGGGATGACATCCAAGTGATGGCCGGGGCGGCGAGAGAAGGGCTGAGCAATTCAAGCTAATGAACAAACCACGTAAATCTGGGTTGATGAATTCTCATGATGATCATGTTTCATGTGAGGTACCATCAAACGAAAGGGCATCTCACGGTGTCACCTGTATGGCTGATAAAGGCCATCGGAAAACCACGGAAAACCTGAAGGAAGACACATAGTAGGAGGAAGATCGAAAGGAAGAAGAGATCGTATGGGTGTGTTTCAAATAGGGAGATCTCCCAGGCAACGACCCCCTGGAAGAAGAGACATAGACCAGTCTACCCATTGGGCCAGGGGGGGTTAACTTCAACGAGAAAGACCTCGCACCCCAAAGAAGTCGTCAATTGAACTGTGCAGGTGCTGTCCAGTGCAGGGTGCTGATAGAGCTTGAGCAACCATACTAGCTGGCATGATGTGAAGTTAGGTCAAACTTGAAGCACTCAAATCGACAGATATGTCTCATGATTTCTCACTTCGAGATCTGGAATTGACCCTTAAAACTCCAACCGGTACTTATGACATGTGCACATGTGCACTAACATGCGGATCGGTGGGGTTCCTGTAAAACGGCGCCTGGAGAGGATGGGGGCTGTCATGACACGCTCGGGGTTCTGAGGATCGGCTCTTCGATCGCGTGAACGCTTTAGAAGCCCAACAGCCACGGGTGGAGAAGCGGCTCGCAGAGCTGGACGGCAAGGTGGGGTCGACTGGTGGGTCGACCACGGCAAGGGTGGGAGGCCAGGAGTTGGTGGAGCTGGGAAGTTCAACTTGTGGTGAAGCTGAGTTGTCGATTCGAAAGGAAAGGTCTCACAAGCTGGGAGCCTAAAATAGTTGAGGAAAGCAGTTGAGCAGTGAGCACCCATTGAGCTATAGAAAAAGACTTCGAGGAGAGGCAGAACTGCTGAACTGCTGGAAACATGAAGCAGGAGAGGCAGGCCTTGACCGAACCACCCACCCAACCCACCGATAAGGCGCGATGATGCTCGATGTATGTATAAGTTGGCTGTAAACCTCGAAGCAAAACATGTTGGGGCCCCCAACACCACCAACCACTGGGTGGGAGGCCCCACCTCCAGGCCTCCCACCTATATCAAGAAACGGCCAAAACCTACATCTCCAGTGTCTGCAGCCGTCGGTCCAAGTCTGCAGCCGTCGGTCGGTTGGAGTCGGGCTTTTCACAGCATTCGCTGTAAACAGGTGAAGGGACTCTCCGACGAGCTCCAAGCACAGATCCGACAGGCCCGCCGCCCGTGCGACGCGCACGCGCACGCGCGTCACCCGTCGCCGGGGTAGAACCGCCCCTCTTCCATCAAACCAGTGGGAAAAGCGTAAGGTGGTCTATACAAAAAGATCAGTTGGTGAAATTATGGCTGCCAGACCCAGAAACAACAAAGATCGCAGGTCACTTGATCTACTCTGATCGAATTGACCAATGGCTGACTGGCATATGACTTCCAGTGCCAAGTTGAGTTCTTCAAAGGCGATGTTACAATACCGAGTCCGGAGCCTACCCCCCATTCATGAAGAATGTGTTTCCTCCTGAGGAGACATTGGAATAGGGTGTAGGTTCAATTAGGTAGGCACATGTTTCTTGGATTGATTATACCATGATTGATTAGTATATTTAAGTGGTGTCTTATGATGAGTTACGTATGACTGCATCCTTGGAACATCCTTGGAACCCCCAAACTTGCCAGTCCGTCGGTAGGCCGATGAGGTTGGAGAAGGCAAGTGGAGGTTTGGCAAAGCTACTACTGGAGCCCACACAAACTTGAAGCCCCGAGATTTTAAGGTATACAGAAGGGACAATTTGAACCTAGATCGTGTTTGCAAGATGGTACTTTTGCAGATGGGAACAGTGAATAGAACAACATGTGTGTGTTTGTAGACGAACATATTCTGGCAAACAATGGCCCAATGGCAACAGGCCAACAGGCAAATGGCTAATGACAAGATGGAACGACAAATCGTAAAACAGCAGAGCAGGGTGTACTCATCACCAACTGTTTTTAATGCTTTGTGATATCTTCGCAAGGCTTTTCTCGAACATGTTTCTACAACATATATCAACATATACTACTGTATACTCATAATCATATATAGTATAAATATACTTAATGTCTTCTGCTCTCAGAGCAACTGGGCTTCAGTCCTGAGATGTCCTGAGTGGGTCGCCAACAGAGGTCCACCTGTTGGATGATCGACGCTGGGAATGGAAGCAAAAGCTTGAAGAGGAGCTGGCAAACAAGTGCCAAGTCTCTTGGCTGAGTCACATCATTTTTGGAGTCACTGCCCATCTCAGAGCGCTTCGTCACGTCGCTTCGTCCAATGCCCATCGAATTCGTGCGAAGTAGAACGGAGCTGGCAACCCGACGGTGTGAACGGAAGTAGAACTGGAACCGTAGCATACGAACGCGTGAAAAAGATGGTGGTTCAATGTTGTTCACGTTGATGCGAGCTCCCCGTCTTTGATGCCCCTAGTTGTCATGCCCCCTTTTCCTCAATTGCTCCCCGGCAAGTTTCCTTGAGACCATTTTAAACATGAAGGATCAAGTGAGTGATCAAGTGATGTTCTACATCTATTTAATTTAGGGATCCCAAATTGCTAGAAACATGATTGAACATCTTGGAAATCCTTATAGGTATACAAGAATTCTAAGACGTGTGTCATAGCTGTTATGATCTTATGACGACAAGTGTTTGTCAAGAAGCCAAGGGACCCTTCAAATAACTCTGAGCAGTCAGAAAGAATAGGAACAACATGACCACCCAGGCTTTGCAGCAGCAGATGCAAGCTCTTCTCTCCAGCAGTCGAACACTGTCTTTGGAGGACCCAGATTGGGTCGTAAGAGGTGAGGGCCCCCTGAGGATGCTTGGTGGTTGTGACCCCTTAGAGACATGATTGGACAATGATATGCCTGTGGGTCAAATCCATGACGAGCCCAGAGCCAGACTAGCCATCGTTGCCTTTGGATCTCTTTGGATTGTTTCAGTTTGGGATTGGAATCCAACACGTCGCCAGCTGAAGAGAAGGGACGTCGCCAGCTACCTAGAGGACTGGGCAACTCAAACTTGGGGGTCTATTGACTCAGATTTAGATGTGCGATGATGGCCTGGTCGAAATCTCCTCAGTCGGAGGAATCGGCCTTAGATAGTGGTCAAAAGTGTTTCGCGAGCTGCCCCCCATCCCACAACTCCGCCACATCCCAAGCAGCGCGGAAGAACACTCCGCGCATGTCTAGGAGGAGTCCAAGCAGCAGCGTAGCTGGAACACTGCGCGGCTTGGAAGCATTTTGAATCTGCCAGACACGTCCTTCTCCCTTTTCTCCTCTCTCCGTCGTCCTTTTGCTGTTGCCGGTCATCCTCCGATGGCCTCCCACCTAATAGCCATGGCCTCCATCCTAGTAGCTATGGCCTCCCCCTGCGTACCCAAGGCTGGAAGATGGTCTCAAGGCAGCGGCGCGCGAACGCCTGGCCATGCAAGAGGCGCCTGCCCACCCCGACAACCCATCGCTGGTGGGGTGAGAAGGGGATGGAAAGGCGAAGCTGTCCAAAGGGTTGCGGCTGTAATCCGATTGGAGAGTTCAAACCTCTGAACCATCGCTTTCTGAGATGTGAACCATTTTAAAGCAACGCCCCACCAAACCTGCAAGCAGGATCCGCAAAGGAGAAGACGTCCCACCGGTGGAGCGCGGCATGACCCCAGGAGGTGCACGAGGGCTTTGTGAATGTGTGCGAGCGTCTCGCAGCCCTGGAAGTGCAGCAGATCCAGGAGCCGTTCGTGCGAACGAAGGTCGATCTGGAGTCGCGAAATGCGTTGGATGAATGAAAGATAATCAAATCCCCCGTACCGAAAGGTTGCAGCTTTGTCCATTTTTATCTCATTGAACGAGTACCCTTCCTCAAAGAAAAGATCGGTGGAACATGATGCAATGCTGGAACATGGTTTGCGCATGGATTCTGGATGTGTGCGCATGCACGATCATGCATGTTTTTTTTGCGGCTTGAAGACGAATGTTCTCGACTTCCAGTAATCAATGTTTGAGGCAGGATATGGCAAAACACAAAAACCTTGTCCATCTCCCGCGCTCCGTCGTCGCGCACCATCACTTCTGCCTTTGCCAGGAGGCCTCGCTGGAGAAGGTCACAATGGGAGCTGCGCCAAGTAACTTGCTTGTGAAGAGTTCTCACTCCTGCCCACTGGGCAGGGGTCTTCAAATGTCTTCAATATATGTGCATCATGTAAAGCCATATATTATTATATCCCCATGATTCGTAATATATCATATTTTTTGCATAGTTGGCACTCGTTCAGGTTGAGTGCCAAATTCATCGAGTCGGATTCAGAATAGTATGTTCGCATCTTCAGAGCAATTCAACTATGATCAAACGATCCAAACGACGAAGTACCAGAGAAATGACCGAACGAAGTACCATGGTATGTCGGTCGGTCGGCCGTGTATGGTTTCCCCCCCTTCGCGAGTCCAGGGGATTCAGTGGTATCTATGATGTGCGTCGGTGAGACTAGAGTAGAGGGCCTGAAGACACAGGGTCAGAAGATTTGATTCGGGCCACTTGCACACTGGTTTTGTTGTCGTATTTTTTTGCGAAAGTAAAGACCAGTGAATTTCGGCACACTGATCAGGGCCGCAGCTGCAGACCTGGGTGGGGGGTTTTGGTTGGCAAACATCCCAGAAGGGGCCGGGAAGGGTGATCATCCCGAGAACTTGGATCCTCCGACCCCGTAGTTAGCGGAGCCTTGAGAATCAAGGGCCACCCCACCAGTAAAGCCCCTGAAAGTCTACCACCTAGCCTGGAGCTAGACGTGTGGCGTAGCAAACAGTGGAAATGAAGCCTTACTCTCCCTGGAACTAACAAGGAAGTGGAACCCCCCCTGTTTGTAGAGGAATATTGTCATCGAATCGAAGGGGCCATTTTCCATTCCATGTTAGTTCTCAGGGAGTGTATGTTAATTTTGAGAGAGGTATCCACTTACTGGTTGCGGAAGTCTGCGTGAGACGCAAGGTGATGTCATTGCTGCTCAGCTTCAAGTGGTGAGGGCGGTTGGAGATGTTGATTTTTCCCAAAACACAGATCCCCAAATGTAGATACCAACATTCCTGGTGCTTTCTTTAAAGGGACAGACATGGACAGACACCTCCCGCCGGCCCGGACACTGTTCCCGTCGTGGTTTATGTGTTATTTTCTGCGTTGAATTCAAGGACAGTTGTCTGCGTTGTTATAGAGTAGTACAACTGATTGAACATCATGGTTTCGTGCTGGACATAGAACAACAAATACAACACTTTCTGGCCGAAGTTGCAAACACCTGCAGCTTTGGAGCCATTTTCATGGCGACATAACACAAGCACCATAGCATGACTTGAAGCACATTAATGAAAACCCACAGTTCACAGAATTTGGCGTCGAGAACCCAGAGATGTAATCGATGACAACGTTATGAAGCCAATGACAATGTCGTGAAACCGATGAAAATGATGAGAGGGCCTCCCACCTTGCCACCCCATGCTCTCCCACCCGAATTAGATCATGCTCTCGTTTGGTGACACCGTTGGCAATGTTGTGTAAGCAGCGACGAGGTTATGAAACCAATTGTGACGATGTTGATGATGTGATGATGATGATGATGATGATGATGATGATGATGATGATGATCATGATCATGATCATGATCATGATCATGATGATCTCGAAGATCTAGAAAAAGCTACGGCTGCTTTCGGGCTGGGGACAAAAGCGTGAAGATTCAAAACCATGCCATGTGCCAATAAGCACTATATGGAGCAAACGGACTTTCTTTGTTTCAGTCCGGTGTTTGACAACCTGAGGTACCACCGGGTACCACCCCCACGCCCCTCTTGGGTTCGAATATATCAATACCTGTCGCATAAATAAATACGGTACATGAAAAAAGACAAGATAGAGTTGTTGTTGTATGTTGTTGTTATTGTTGCTGTTGTTGCTGCTGTTGCTGCTGTTGCTGCTGTTGCTGTTGTTGCTGTTGTTGCTGTTGTTGCTGTTGTTGTTGTTGTTGTTGGTTGTTGGTTGTTGGTTGTGGATTGTCGGTTGTCGGTTGTCGTTGTTGTTGCAACGCAATATTTTGTTTCATTCCCTGGTTTGTTTTTAGGAACAGGTGCGCACACGATACATTTTGGCCTTTGTGATGCTTCATGGTTGGATGAGGAACAATGTCCAGAAGGATGTGGTTGCAGCATGTTATCAGACAAGGATGCCATGCCACTATTCTTTTGTTGAGAAACCTATCAACTCCAAATAGTGGCTGGGACTAACAAATACAAAGGGATCGAGTTAGACGTTGGTCATTGGTGCAAGTGCGGAGGTGGCGGAAGTGACGTCGAAGCGATTGGAGGAACCTTGGCTTTCGAGCTTTGACAGGGGTCTCCAATTATTGAAGAACTCCAAAGAAGGTTTGCTTAGGTGCAGCACAGCGATGTCTTCCACGATTCCACCATTCGTTATGTTCTTTCCCTCGAAAACCTTTCTCAAGGCATTTGACAATTGCCTGTACTTGTTGGAGAAACTAGACGATGTGAGTTCCTTTGACCACTGAAACCAAGCAGAGTCCAAAGTTGAGAGCCTCTTTTGAAACGTTAAAGGATAGTTGCTCCCCGCTTCAGTGACATGGAATCCTCAGAGTCGTAGCCGGGATGTGTGTGGGCCCGTTTCAGTTTCAGCCATGAAAGCAATCTTTTGGGATTTGTCCTTTCACCAAATACGTGGTCGCGGCAGCTTGCAAACATGGTTCATCACCAAGGTAGGGACTCTGAGAATATCAGCCCTCACTTGCCATCCAAAAGCAACACCTTTGGAACTCCTGCCTGAGGATCTTGAAAAGAGATTCGAGGAAGCGCTTCAGGACTTCAAGTGTGGACATGCATGGTTTTAACGGGAGGCATTCTTGTAGTTCAGGATGTTCTGACTCTTTTTTTGGGGAGTGGCCTCACTAGGGTTTGGAACCGGAACGATGCCTGGAAGACGTGGGTGCTTAAAGGCTGGTGTGACCGTTTCTGGAAACTGCATTGTGCACCACTGTGCAAGGAAATTTTGGCCATATCGATCGTCTGAATTGGGCTATTTCACAAGCCACATTCATTTTTGGAGGGGCAGGAAGGTGCACGGAAGCCAATGTCGGACTGCACAGAAGCAAGAGCCACCGGAATCAGGCCACATGAAAAGTGTTGTACAGTGCAGATTTACGTAGGAGTCATAGTCGTCTCCGTGTTCTTTGAGGCTGTTGTTGGGGGTTTTGTGGTTTGTTACATAGTTGTTGCTGTTGCTGATGCTGCTTTTCGAAAGAGAACGAACACAAAGAATCACTTCCAGGACCTACAAGGGATGGTTGATGGACACCGAAGCTCAAGGGTACTCCAGAGCCAGTCTTACATGGGGTGCCACAGACACCAGGACAACTTCGACATCCATCAGCGGCATGCGGCCCAAGAGGACATCAAAAACGACATCCGGTTTTCGCAATGGCGGTGATGCCCTGGCAACATATTGAAATCACCCTCAAGTCGCTTGAATATGAATATGTTGGGTCTGTCCTATTACCCGTAACAGTCAGTAAACAAATCATCCGCTGTTACAGGTAATAGGATAGAATATTTATCAAACCTGTCCCAGGATGGCTTATATAGGGCTTACGGCTCTTCGCCTGGTTTTCTTGGACCCACTTCTGGGCACTCTAGCAAATGCCTAGGTTCTCGAAGCAGATGCAAGGACAGAGTGTGAACTATATACTAGGATACAGCCCTGAGATGTGCTCGTTGTCCAAGGAACCTCATTTTCAATACGACAGTAACTTGACTGCGTAGGCAAGCCGACAAACTCTCAAATCTTTGACATCTGAATTCTGAATCTACGAATCGGGGCGTGGGGTGGTGCGGATGTGGCTTGTTGGTGTACGAAATCTGCCAGATCCAACGGTTTTTTGAGCGATTTGAGAGGTTGAAGAGGACCAAGCCCCTGGTTGTCTCCGCTCCACAGTGCCCACGAACTCGAAGATAGACTCTTGAGGACTTCTGTAGACTCTAGGATCTCTCTAATCGTCTTAGTCTTAAGAGGCATTAATTTAAGAAGTCCATGTATTTTTTGTACCAATCCTTCCGCATCAAGAATTCTTAAATACAGTATGTATGCGTCTGCTGACCCGCCTCCGGTCAGAATGACGAGGTCCCCGCAACTGGAGGCCTTTGGCCCAAGAGTGGACTGTGTGTGTGTGTGTTGCTGCAAAGCACACTTCCACTGCCATGGGGGAGATAGTTATTGCGGGAGCTGGGATTTCTGGTTTGGCTTTGGCAAGGCGATTGGATGCTTGGATGCACCAGCCGGGCTCGATGGGTCCTCGGATCCTGACATGGGCTTGTTCGTTCCATTTCCGTCCCTTTCCGCAGCGGTCGATCCTGGTTATGGTGGCGCATGTTCGCGTAGCGTAGAACAGGGGTGCCAAATCAAAGCTTCAAGTGACTGGGTTGCATCTTCAGGTCGTGGCTTTGGTCGAACTGTGAGCATGGCAGAGATCCTTTAGAAGGGATAGGTTGGAGGAATCGTGGTTGCTTAAGGGCTTCTATCAAGTCTTGAAACATTCTAGGGTTCAGGGGCTCGAAGTTTCTCCAGGGTAAAGGGGCGCAATTGTTGTCAGGTGTATAAGATATGCGTGTTCCCGTGGCACTGCCTCAGCTGAGTGTGATGCTGAGGAGTTTCTTCTGGGATGGGTTTTGGCGGCCCAGCGTTCCCGTCATTATTGAAGAAGCACTCAGAAGCACCCCCTTTGGACCCTGTGTTCCTCATTCGAGCTTCTGGATCACCAGTAGAATCTTGTTGGTCGTTGTATGCAAGTCTCTAGGTTCAGCAGATCAGACTACTCTAGAGCATACTAGCGCCAACGTCTTAAAACAGGTGCCTGTGAACAGATTCTCCACTGCAATTTTGGCAGGCTTAAGCTCAAGTTTCGCAAGGTACCTCTAAGCACAATTGCACAGCGCAGATGCACAGGTTTCCCACCCAGCGCCACCCACCTCCGCCATCCCAGATATGTGCTCGCTTGTGCTGTGCACTTGTAGCAGAAGATAATTATATATGAATTATTTAGGGGTGCAACCCCATGGCCCAGTCCACTCTCAGTTCCGATGCCCACTCGGTGTCTCCAAGGAGCAGCTGGGCTTTGAGTCCATCTGCATCTTTGAGCGAGATCAGAGCCTAAACAGCCGAGAACAAGGGTATAGTCTCACTATCCAGGAGAACTGACTAAAGGCTAGAAGCGCGTGTGCTTTGAGGGTCAGGTTTGCGGGGAAATCCAGCACTCAACAGGGAAGATAGGTAGCTCTGGGCTGGTACCCCAAAACATCTCAAATCTTATGGCTATACCAGGCACTACGTGAAAAGTTCATCAGCATCCTTCGAACTCCGGGTACTTACCTTGCCGAACCACTGCTCTTTGAATGAATGAAATGTAGCAAGCTGAAGAAGGTTGAAGGAAGGTTTGAATTAGTACGCGTCGCAAGCCGAAACATCATGTGAACCGCAAGCTCCATCACCTCACCGAGATCACAACAAACCGCGACCAAACGCCATCACTCCATACGCACGCCAGAAGAGCAAATACCAAGTACCAAAACAGGTACAAAACAGGCAGATTCCTACCAGGAACCAAAGGCACTCGACCTGTACTGTGCATGTCAACCTGGACGCAGGTGTCATAGGGGAGTTCAGCACCTTACAGTGACCCAGCCAGCAATGCTGCACTGGATCGCCCCCACATATCCAGCAGACCAGCTGCACCGGACTCTCGCTCCGACCGAGAGATTCGACCTCGCGAGGAGTCGGGGCAAAAGACGCTGCAGCAGCTGGGTCTCCTGGAGCTGGTCCCCTAGTTTTGCTCCAGGTGAATTTTTCGTTTTCCCGGGTAAATCCCCCAGAATGGGAATATGTGATGTGTTTTTCCATATTTTTCCAGGGTCCTTAAGCAAATCCAAGGTCCGGAGTTGCTCGGTGCCGGGAGGCGGAGGGCAGCTGCATGCTGCGGATGGGCGAGTGCTGTCGTCTTCCAAGGCGCCACCGCGGCGGTGGTGGCTGATGGAAACGCGGTGGCGGCGGCGGTGGTGGTGGTGGTGCAGATGGGAGTGATGCTGATGGTGATGCGGATGTTGATTTTTCGTCCGCCTGGTGGTGAGAGGGGAGAAGATGGTCGAACGAAAAAGCACATGAAAAGGAGTGGTTGGAACTAGGGGATGGGGGGAACTATGGTGAAGGTCAGGATGAGATGTGACATGGCGGTAGGCCAGTCCTGTGAGTTGTGAAGAGGGGCTTTGATTACAGTGGACATGACTGCTTTGCTATTCACATTGGTTTGCATTCTATGGGATGAGGGTAGGAGCGCTTTGGGGTTGTGGAGACGGCATTGTTTTCTTGCTTTTGGATGCTTTTGGGCAGGATCTCGTTTCCGAAAGTCCCAGAGTGAGCCCTTCACCACGACCAAGATTCGAGCTTCAACATACAGTGCGTAAGGCATGGAGAGGAACCTCAAGAAGGTTGCAAGGTGGTTTGTCAGGAGTTCATTTCAACGCGGTGTGATTCCTTTCATCATGGAGTTTCAAGTTGACTTTACAGTTTGAGCAATGTAAACACATGATTAAGGAACCTTTTCTAGTAGTTTGGTCCGACTTGTTCCTGCCTTTCAACAAACCATCTGGCCCACAATAATCCCCCCCGCGAATTAGCTTGGTCCACCTTTCTTGGATCCTTTTTTGGCACTACTACCTGCCTTTCTTGCCTTCTTCAACCCCTGAATCTGTAGTTTCTGACTCCATTTGGCTAATTAATTTGACGCCGGACTCGTGCGTCCATTGCAAAAGTTTGATCTCCAAACAAATCTCGACCACGCCTTTTATTGCTGTGCTTCAAAAGCTGCCGGTAGCTGCCAGTCTTTGACGAGCGCGTTGCCAAACCAACTCACACGAGTCGACTAATCGCTCAAGACCCGAATCGAATCTGAGAACCCCGACCAGGGGACATTTGCAGCCGCTGCTGGTCGTTAGGAACCTATGGGAGTTCCATGGTGGATCGGTGGATGTGGGACCAAAATTTGTCCGTCCTTCAGATCAGGGCCGTGGGAAAGGTGGAAAAGGCCGGAGTTCCAGAGCTCGAAAGACCAACCTCTACGTGCCCAGACAGGACAGCGGGGAAGAATTTCTGATGCAAACACTGGCACTGTGGAACATCCGCCTCCGCAGATGCTTTCGGTCCCGTGGTATGGTAGATTCTTGCTCCTAGAGATGGGTTTTACTCACGTTCTGTTGGTCCAAGATCCATGATTGTACGCATCCAGCATCCAGGCCAAGAAGCAGTCCCATGCCGGGCCCCACAGATAGAGTTGCTGGTGAAGCCTCAACAGGTGTGATGATCGTGTTGTGATCCACTATGCTTGCAACTAGACAAATAAATATGTCGTAAACGTTCAGCAACGTGGCCACCAATTGCTTGATCCGCATGACTTTGCTTGTACAAGCAAGGGTCTCATTTTATAATGTGTTGACCTCCATGTGAGCTCATTGGGAGATGAACCACACTCTTTTCTTGTCCCAACCAAAAATAGCTCTTTGTGTTTCCATAGACACCGTTTACCTCAACCTCAACATATATAATTATATATAGGTCACACTATATATATATATATGTATATTCCAGAAACCAGTACCCTAAGGTTCCAACAGGTATTTATTTGATACACGTTCAGCATACCTCAATTTCAGCATGTGGGCAAATGAAGGTTCGCCCCTTTTGCGTGTCACGCCCCCCCCCCACTGATTCTTTTTCAAGATGGCGAGCCATGCTGGTTTGACTCATTTCTGCCGCACATTCAGTGTTTGAATGCGGTGCTTCATTGCGAACAGCCTGCCATCGAACAAACATACCACAAAGAACACGTGCCACACAACACTCGCACTCCGAACCTTAGCCTACCACATCGCAGAATCCATCTTTCACGCTGCCGATGTGCACCAGCTGCAACTCGCCTGTGAGCCTCTATTAAAAAAATGATCGAGGACTTCCAGGGAGTATATATCTAACTACTATAAAATATGTCCTCAACAATTTGTTTGACCCGTCTTCTGCACACCTTCTGCTCCCCCCAAAAAACCGCCCGCCTCCTGAGGAGCTGCGACGGATCCTCTTCGAGTCGCTGCGGAGCACGAAGATCGCGTGGTCTCAGCAGGTCCTGGGCTACGAAGATCTCGGGGCGGAAGGATCGATCAAGGCCGGGTGGTTCTCCCGGGAGGGGAAGAAGATGGAAGGGACTGGGAGATGGATGGAGATGGGTTTTAGGGAAGGACAGGGAATATGGTTTGATGATCTTGATGTTCTATTTTTCTCCGGAAGAATGAATGAAGCAACAAAAAGGGCAAGCTCCTCAAACCTTTATTGTTTTTGTGCTGTTCATGAGTAGAAATGGTCCGGGAGACTGAAGATAGTTGCGGTTGGAGACCTGAAAGGTGCTGAAAGGCTGAAAAAGGAGGATGCTTGGAGCAACAGTAAGTTTTCTGATTATATACATTTGTTTCACATGCTTTTACATGTACACCATGTAATAGTCCTGACAGCTTTGGATGATGTTTGGACTTTTTCTGAGCCCCAAACATGGAGATTGGTCGATATTTGGCTCCAAGAAGACGTACGCTTTGCCGGCGGGGGACAACTCCCAGTCAAACCCATGCCGTCCACTCCGTGCATGTGGATGAACCCGTTGGTTCTAAGTTGATTGATCCGCTTCTTTTTGGAAAAAAGAACACATACACCTCGACTGACCATGAGTGAATTTTTCCACAAATTAAATACAGTATACAGACAAATGTGGAATGCTCAGCTTTGGTAGAGGGCTCCATGATACTTTTCAGAGGTTTTCAGGAAGGAATAGAGGGAAATAGCTTCGGACCTGGGCCTAATTTCCAGGTCAGCGATTCTTTCAGGATGGTCACCCTGAGCAAAATCATTACGCAACAATTCGTGTGTGCATTACAACAGGTAGACCGGCAGGTCTCCCGCAACCAACGAGTTTCGTCAATACTGAGTCTATCTTCTTTCAAGACAGGGCTGGCCATGCGTTAGTACGGACATCCCTGTCCGGACCAACAGACCCGCAGGTGAAGTTGAGCGACCAAGAGGTGTCAGCCCAAGTGCTGGTTGCCTGTGATGGAGTGAAATCCTTAGTGCGAAGGCAGAAGCTACAAGATGAGCTTCAGCCACTGGGATGAACATGTGGGTCACAACTACTGTCATGGTTGAGGGATTTGATTGGTTTCATTCGTGGCTCAAAGCATTCTTGGGAGCTTGGCAGATTTGTTTGAGTGCCCATGGCGGGATGTTGAAGGGTTTTCAAAGATGACATTAGACTACACACACTGCCATGCTTAGTTGAAGTTCAGATCTGATTGTGTGTTGGTATCACTAATTTTGTCGTGCTTTCACCCAAGGCCCAAGGTAGGCGAAGGCTAAGGCAGGCGGAAAAACAACAGGCGAATGCAGTGGAAGGAGTTTGTGATACCTAAATCGACCCTTTAGTGTTACAGGTGTTTTTTTGTTGAACGTTGAGGTGCCCATTCTAGATCCTGAGAACATCACGTCAAGAGGCTATTCCGATGTAAAACCAGCGTACTTGCGTAGCAATTTCAGGACTTTGAGAAAGCTTCAACATTTGAAGACTTGCCGAAAGTCCCACGCATCACCATGGTGGCATTAGCAAAACCGCTAGACTGGTCATACCCAGGAGTACCCTTGGTAGAAAGAATTCCTTGATTGATCTCAGAGGGCATGCGTTTATTAAAACTAGACGTTTGTTTTTGTGTTTGTTCAGTTAAGCTAGAGTGCTTACTTTGATCTAGAAGTGCCTCATAAAAAAGGATCAATTCATGCACAACAATGGTCCTGTTCACCACGTGGTGTTGGAGGGAAATGGGGATGGATCAAAATTCGGGCACCCTGGTGGACCCCTGAGAATGAACAGAATAGACTAAGGAGGTCAACCTAAGAAGGTTTAGGGGCTCCGGGTGTTGACCCGCAGCCTTGCATGAGTCGAATCATGCAAGGCAGCACGCGCTCGTCGCCCATCCATATCGCTTCGCTCCATTGGGGTGAAAAAGGCGGTGGAAGGGACCATGATGCACTTTGCAAGCATAAGGATGGATGAAAACATAGAATCCGGCTAGTTAGCTACAGTCTATAGGTCCCATATATATATATATATGTATTTATTGATCCATATAGACAATTGTACAACGTTTGGAAACCCATAGGTCATGGACATGCCATAATTAGGTTGGATACAACGCGATATCTCTTTTTGCAACCCACTCAACTGAAGGCCGCCAAAAACCGACGGTCACCCAAAACCGACAAAGCCGAGGTATCTGGGTGTGGGGATGATTAACGGCTCTCTGGCAGCAACACGCGGTGGCTCTGGGGAAGACCCAAGCGGTGCTGGGGTGGATGTCCTCCTCATGTCATCTGAAACGGTGAGTTGAAGTGAAACACCAAGTGCCAACTCGACTGCGAGTCACATGGAAGTGGCAAACCACCGGTTTGTAGAGGAAAATGGTCATCCAAAGCTTCCAAAGGACAATTTTCCGCTTCCTATTTCAGGGAGTGTACCTCCTCCAAGTTTTTAGCAGACGTGCAGGGCAGATTCTCTGCAAAACACTAGCTGAGCTCTTGGGTTTAATGCCGCATGACGCATGGGATTTTCTGAACATTTGGCCCGTGCTCTGAAGAACCGCCAGCCTTATGGTTGAAACATGTCGAAATCATTCAAGCGGACCCATTGTCCTGGTCTCTTGTCCACATGGCTTTCCACTTTGAACCACTGAAGCACGATCCAAGGCATTGCAGCACGATGTGGAACCACCGAAGGCCTTCGAGGTAACCTGCAGCTCATTGATGGCTCTGCGCGGATGTTCTTGAAGCCCTTTCAGGACCAGAACCACTGCGCAGGTTTGGCTGAACATACCACCAAGATTCACCAAGATTCACCAAGCACCTGCAGTTGCTTTGGGCATGCGTCATTTCCATTCATTTCCCATAATTGGATCACCTGCGGTTTGGTGCCCTTTGCGGACCCGGTGGATGTGGCAACCCACCAAAAAGCCGCTAGCCCAGGCTCAAAGTAAGGCAAGCCCAGCTGACCTACTATACTGTACTGAGGATTGATCTTTGACTTTGCAGCTTATCTGAGGGCCGCAAGCTATACTGTGATTATAGAACGTATCTCCTCAATCCATCTTGTCATGTCCCATTCTAGACATCCAGGAACCGCCGGCTGAATTTGCTAAGCATTTGCTGAAGACGGCCAGAGGAGCAGCACGCCATGTGGCAGCTCACGTTCCCCATGGAGAACCCGCAAGAAGTCGAGCAGCTGAAGACCTGCACGAAGTTGGAGTTGCAAGAGAGACCACTGGGCCGCACGAGTTTTTCTTACGTGTCGGACGTGTTGGGGAAAAGAACATCAGCTGAAGACCCGCCTTTGTCAGCAAAGTTGCCAAACTATTCTGATATATTTCGTTCTTTGCGCCCAACGGCCCAAGGCAGTGTCGCACTATCTTTCAATGTCTCAAAGGGTGTCCTTCCCCCCAAAGGCCATTCCTTTGGTCAGTTGGGAACCAAGATCGGTTGCCTAACTAAAGTTCGCAACTTGCTTTGATCATGGTTGAAACGATCCGGTTAGGAAAAATAAGAAATAACAGCTTCCAGGTAGCGCGGGTGCAGAATGAACCATGCATGTTGGGAATAGCGGAGTTTATACTACGTTTAGGCAATGCTTATATACCTTCCTCACGTATACTTCTCCTTCACGGAATTCACGGCTCACTACCAGAGCTTTCGCGCTTTCCCCGCAAAAGGGTCTAAGCCCACTAAAGAAGGCCAAGGGCGGAAACCATGTTCAGGTGATTTTTCACACA